ATCAATATTATTATTATTATTGTTATTATTATAGTAATTATTTATTCTCTTGACGAGTGAAAATAAAAACAATTTAATTATATCGATTTTGTTAACGAATGATCAATGATTTCTGTGCTATTTCATCTACCTACACATCGTTATACACATAAATACGGCATTACGTTGTCTCTCTCTACTGTTATAACGACGAATCCATCCAACTTTTTGATTTTATTTTATGCAATTTTTGTTTGTTTTTTTGTTTGTTTTTGTTTCATCGCATACTAGGCTTGAATTTCTGTTTTCTTAAGAAAATAATACGCCCCGGTTAGCAGCGAAAACACAACTCGAGCACCAACGACGCCTCGAGAGGAGAAACGCAAGAAAAAAAAGGGGGGGGGGGAAGGGGGTGGGCGCAAATTTCAGCGACAAGTTACCTGAGTCGTGTCGCACTCGCGCGATCTTCCGCTCGAACCAAGGCAGCACCAACAGAGCAGAGCGAAGAAGAAGAAGAAGAGGAGGAGGAGGAGGTGGGTCTATTTACTGGGGTGGCGGGCACTTGACGATCGTCGTCGTCGCGAACTCGCTGAACTTCTTGTCGATAGGAACTCGGTCGTCGTAGAGAGTCGGCGCCTGCAGGATGATGCCCGCCGTACCTACGAGCACCGCCAGAGTGAAGATCCAGAGGAACAGCCGGTCCAGCACCATCGCCACGTACTTCCAGTCCTCCTTCACCTGCGACCAAACAATAAGCCCGCGCCAAGACGGTCTTGGTGTGAAAAAACATCGGTAACTGTGTTGAGATGTTCCCGATGGAAAAAAGAAAGAAAAAAACAAACTGACCTTTGTCGAGTCCTCGAGCATCTTTGTGTGCTCGGCGATGAAGCGCACGCAGATGCAGGACCTGTGCAGCTCGGGCGGGCACTTTGAGTGCGAGAAGGTGGAGGTCGGCCGGAGCACGGGGCTCTTGGTGCCGTCAAGGATGGCAGCCGCCGCCTCCTCGTCCGTTGGCCCGATCTGCAGCTCCTCGCAGTCGGCGTGCAGGGGCAGCCGGGGCAGACTCGGCGTCCCGTGGATCAGACAGCTCCCGCCAAAGTGTGCCCCGTCCACGAGGCTGTTTGGTCGAGAAGTACGTGGGTTTTATAGTTACAAGACAAGTAAGCGCATCGTACGGGTGAATAACCAAAATAATAAAGTTCAGTTGTCCCGTACTTGGAGGGTGAGAGGTCGTCCCTGGACGAGGCGTGGCTATGGAAGCGTTTCGAGGGCGTGAAGTGCTCGTCGGCCATGTCGTGGCAGGACGCGTGGTACGGGTAGAAGGATTTGTCCTTGCTGCCCCGCATGCCCCGCATCAGCGCCGCTCTCGATGTAAACCTGCGGACAAGCCACATATGCACGTGTACGAGGCACTATACCGTTGAAAGAGCCTGCACTGGTGGACTTTTCGAAAAACATATTCACTCCCAGTGAAATTTTCAACTACAAGTTGCCAACGCGTGCGATCTAACTATACGCAATAGAGTTATGTCCGATACGTGTTGGAAACAGTTACAATGATGGGATATCCTACATCTCACAACGTGACAAGAGTAACTTTAACCCCGAAAACCAATAAAACCTAATCAAATCAAGCCAAACTTGGTCCAAATAGATCCAGCCAACTAATTACCAGTAAGCTCGCACGCCACCACTGGAGCCCAACGACGCAGAGGTACGTATTTCCCCGAAAATACAGAACATAACCATCTGTATGCATTTTACTTGTAAATTGCGTAAACAAAGGAACTTTAGTTAGGAATCACAAAATCAATACCATAAAGTTCTACATGAAGTGTTCTAATCTGCTGACAACGGGTATAGAGCCAAGCACTGCCCGGTTGAGCTGTTGGTAACGCGACAGCGCGTATATACACACGTACAACGCTTCGCAACTCTTTCGTCCCCATTTCCTTCTATCCGTTTCAGCGTCTCTTGGAGCCCCCTTCAGCCCCCGCGTTGACTATCGCATGAAACGTAGCAAGAGCACCCGAGAGTGAGAGCGAATCCAGTTAGCGACACCAAGAGGGAAACGGGGGGTTGCAGGCGTGAAAGGGCCCCTGCACCAGTGTGGAGCAGCGTAATTCGGCGAGACTCTCCTCCGGCAGTCGAGTCGAGAGATTGGAGCCTCTGCAACTCACACAATCAACCGAAGCAGCACAATCGGGCGCACACGCGCGTCCACGTCGCATGATGCATGGAGCCCTCTTTCCCCCTCCCCTGTCTGTGACCTCGGCCTTTTTTTCCCTCCCCCCCCCGCTCTTTCTCTTTCTCTCGTTTCACCGAGAATCCGGGGCTAGACTCTGTCGCGCGTAGTTATAGTCTCCCATGCGCGGGGCGGAGCTCGGCGATAAATTTCGCGCCACTCTAAATCACGAGGTCGCTCGCTCGAGCAATTGATTCGGAATAGTTTGACCCCACCTCCCTCCTGTCGCGGTCCCAGTTTTCCGAAGGGCTCAGCTTTCGCTGACGCGGTACACGTGTATACATACGGTACATCACAACGAAACCTCACTTGCATAAGTCGACCGAGCTACGTTGAACCATCTCCGTTTTGTTTCGAATGTTATACGTATATACGTAGGTGTACACTCGTTTGGATTTCAATTTGCAGTTTTAAGCTCTCCCATGCATGGATTTAGCGTGACTTTTACCACATTGTGACTCACAGCCCCGCGTGCACTGGGACTGCACAGTCGATAAATCCCGCGATAAGAGAAACAACCGCGGTACAACCGTGCATATAATACACGTTTGCGTGGAAAACAAATGTACAGGAGGAGTTATGGATCTGTGGGGTTTCGAGCCCCTTCGAGGCTCGGCTAAAGTAGAACAAGTCGAGTGCGGTCGGACGCGCACAAATATACACGGTGCAACAGCCAAAACAACGAGAGCTTTGGTAAGTAGTAATGCGCGGGTATAACGAGTGCAGAAAAGGGTAATCAATCACAAAACGCCAGCGACAAAACCACGCTTGCATCAATACATACATACGCAATGCGTGACATGCAGTTAATGCACGAGTACTTACCTCGTGGGCTCGAACTTGTACTGGGGCCTCCGCATGACGAGGAGCCTCGGGAGTATGTGTATGAAGACCCGTTTGACCCAGGGCGCCATTTTGTGGGTCTGCGGCGAGCGGAAGTGGACGTTCAGAACGACCACGGTGACGCATATGCTGAAACCAGAGGTAAAACGTCACTCGTGTCCAGCTATATAGGAACGGCCCTGTATCCGAGTATATGTGTGTGTGTTTGTGTGTGTGGAATTGCTCGCGATGGCATCTCAGCAGCGGTGTGCTCCGTCTGGTTTATTTTCTCGCCGGGTTTGCGGTCGCGGTGTGTATATTTAGTGCCGATGAGAGAGAGTGAGGGAAGGACCCGACGCGGTGCGGTCGTTATTTTGTATATTAAACGGCTCGCGCGGGGATGGATGGGATTGGATTTCCGAATGGCGTCGGGGCTGGTTGTTCGTGGTTGTCCGATGATTGTTTATACATCCCTTTGCTTCTGGTTTCAACCAAGAGTTACATCCTCGGCTAATCGTTTGTCTGTCTACGATAAACACGGTCTGACCAAAATCGTCTTTTACTACTTTAAACTAAATGCATGTTATTGGGAAGGAAGAAAAAATGTACACGAAGCCTCTGCTTTTTTTTTTTTTAATTAAAATGCACATCGTCGCAAAAAAGAGCGAGGCAACGGGAAAAGTATAATGGGGAAACAAGTTGGTTCGGTGAAAAAGAAAATGCCTTATTTTACGCAATTTAATTGGCGTCGGGAGAGCACTCCCGCGCGGTACGTCCAACCCACCTCGAGCGCTATTTTCCATCTCTCTCGTTTTTATTCCTCGAGCTTCTCGATACGTTTCCACGCGCTCTAAATTGCCCTTTTTTTTTCTCTTTCCCTACAGCCTCCCGTGACACTTTTCGCGCTCTCCCCGAGTGTTTTCCAATGAATCCTAGCTCGGACTTTTTTTTTTTTTCAACATCCCTCATCAGGTGTCCGCATTGACGATTACACGCCACCAAGTGCCCAGGATTTTTTTCCCCCCACTGGTAGATCGTAACGACCTTTGAGCGATGAAAAAAGTGTTCTTTTACTGTAATAGGAAGGGGGGGGGGGAAAGGAAGACTTTTTACCGGCTACAGGTTTCAAGTGTCACTCACGGGCACAAAACCTTTTAAAGCATGCAAATCGGCCAATCTCGCCTGCACGCTTGGATCCTAGTTTATGGGGTATATCCGTAGGGTGTGAAGTGTGGGGGGCGAAAACCCATCCATGCCCCAAGATATGTCCCATTATCTCGACGGGTGAGCTGTGCGGTATGTAAGCTTACCATTCGACGGCCAATGAGCCAGTGATGATAGCAACAGAAACGTCCGAGCGCGTTGACGCGTATCAGAGTCGAGTCACCTGCAACGGACAGGCTCTACTTTTACGGGGACGAATTCGTTCCAGGGCCATTTCTCTCGATCGATCCTCCCCTCCTCACCCAACTCACTCGCCTACTATCATGAATATAATCTCTCGCAAAGGAGAGGTGTGGAGCCCGTAGCTGCGAAATATTTACGTGGATGTATAGGTACACGTATAAACCGCAACGGGCACGTTATATAGCAAGAGAAGGCGAAGCGCGTTGGCTCATGAACGGCACACACACGTAACGCTCGGCGCTCTGGCGTACATATTCTCGTTGCGAAATAAATCAATGCAGCTACACGCGAGAGGGCTTGGTGAGCGCGGGCTCTTGTTTCCAGTTGTATGTGTACACGGGCTTAGTGCCTTACAGGTACACGTATATAAATATATAATACATCAAAGGTACCTCTCTCGTACTAACTATGTACCGTCGACGGTCCAACCAACATTGTTCTCGGTGAAATGAAATCATCTTAATTTTTTCGCATTTTCCGGTACGTTTGCTTTACAATTAATGTAACGGGGGAGGCACTGGAATCGGAATTATAAGAGCGGAATATCTTTGGGCGTAAAGAGCACTCGAGCTGATGGATGGACGATCGATTCAACTGGAGGAAAGGAGGAAGGGACCGATTTGATCGACGACGCTGGAAAGTCATCACGCGGAGCTGCAAAAAGGGGGATCAGTGCCGTGCAGATTTCCGATCAGAAAAGAGGCGGCTGAGATCCTCGGGGTCTCCGAGGAGAAAGCGTCGAGCGGACGAGCTTATTTTTCCAGTGCTCCGCTTTGGATGCGTATGATTATTTTACCTCCGCCACGTACACGGCTTCGATTGGCTCCCAAGCACGTGGCCATAGTTTTTAAACTTGACAAATAATTAAATCACGATTTTCTCGCTACGAGGTTTAGGTTGAAAAGCCAAAATCTGTCGCATCAAGTAGAACAAGCCCGTTTTGGTCAGACGGGCGAGGTGCAACCGATGCTCCACCTACTTTTTTTTTTGTCCCTTGGTACGTGAGTATTTTTCTCACATACACATTGCTCCTTCGTTTCATACTTTTTCCACGCTCGAGTCACGCACACACGTGAATTTCTCTTCTGGAAACAATTAACTGTTGCGGGAAAGTCCGTTCGCTGTCGACTTTACGTCCAAGAGACCTTTGCAGGGAGTCGGTATAAAGGGCTCTCGAGAGACCCGAGCTGAACTATTCCGTGTAGATGTGTCTCGCGGCCCGAGAATATCGTCAATGGTTGCAAGTACCGAGGAGGTATGTAATGGGATTGATATAGTAAAATCACGCGCTCGAGATTCAGATGTTTATAACAATAAGCTCCTTCAATGTGTACATTTTGCCCCTTTCCATCGTAGTTTAGGTAGACCCCAGCCCCACTCATCCAAAGAACCGAACGAATTCACGGATGGAAACACGCACACGCATACCAGTACGCATCGCGGGTAAAGGAGCTTGGTCCCATAAATCAAAAGTTCCTTCCTATACCCGAGAGCACTCCAGATTCCGCTCTCCTCCTCTGCGCGCCATTCTTCGCATCAGCGCATTATACTGCCGCCTCGGTGCTGTCGCTGAATACACCTATCCGAGGGATCTTGCCGGGCAAGACCAGGATGACTGGCAAGTTTTTTCGCTCTCCACGCTGACGTGACAAATGAACTTTTGCACTCGGCCCTGCTCTTTCTCTATCTCTGGTGGCGTGTGTACGAGCGCGTGTTGTGTCGTACGTGCGGGCAGCGGAAATTCGCCCTTTACGGCTTTGGCTTTCGGCTCGAGTGCCCCTATTTTTCGGAACGCGGTGTCCCAACGTCGCCGAGACCGGTGGAAGCTCGAGGGGCTGTTTTTCCGGGGTGCAAGTTGTTCGCTCGGTCGAGTTTCCCGCAGTTGACTGGCGACAAGGGCCCAAAAACATGGAGTTGACAACGAGAGCCACACCGAAAATCAGCTGATAATGATCCCTCGTCGTGATTGTCGAGCAAAGTTGGCCGTCGCGTCGTCGAACACTTGAGTTAGTCTCGAGTTTGAAAGTTGCACGGCCGAGCTCGGACTCGGCAGGAATAAGAGAGAAGGCGCGTGTATATATTCAATGGGAGGAAAGAAGCCGTGGGAGGTAATTAAAAGTACGAACGGAGAAGTGCCCGATGGAGCCTATACCATCGCTCTTTTTGTGTAAACAGTGGTAGGAGTAAGAGGGGGCGATTAGAGTTGGAATAAGAAAGAGGAGGTCTGTGGAAGACGTGAAACGTTAATCGTCGAGTCGACTTTTTTCCCTCTCTCTCTTTGGACTACGTGCGAGGAGTTTTTATTCATACGCTCGCGCGAGGAAGTGTGGTTTGTTAAAACCAGCAACGCAGTAACCTTTGAGGCATCTTTTTTTTTTTTTTTTTAAGGCTAAAAGTATACAGCTTCCAACGATAAGGATAAAGTGCTGTGCGATTTAGACGGCAGGAGCAAAAAACTCGCCTCGTTTCGATAAGTGTCGCGTTTCATTTCCCTCCCCGCGACCCTCCCCCCCCTCGTCCTCTACCACCCCTTGGGCTCTCGTTCCTTCCCCGGGAAATTGTGAGAGCTCTTCCATCTATCTCGAGAACCAGCGCAGAGCGCGCATCCACTCGCAGGTTGCATTCAGCGCACGTCGTGGCCTAAAACGACCCTCGTATCCTTGGGGATCCGGGGGGTGAGTCGAGCGCGAAGGAAAATAAAAGCAGGGCAAGGCTCGGCCGATGACAGGACCGATGGATCGTGAGCAAAATCACTGCGTTGGCTGCACATCGGCTCGCGTCCACACGTACACGGGAGCTTGTACCTACACCTGTATTATGAATCAACGCTCCGTCTGACCACAGCGGCACCTGTACTACTGAAAACGGGATTACGGACTGTACCAGGCGAGAGAGGACTCAAATGCGATTTTTGGACACATGGTGGAGAGATAAAGGGATCCTTGACCTGATTTTGCTTTTAAATCTCGACCAAGTCTATTTTTTTCCTCCTACCAATACTGTACGGCTTTACGGACAAAGGCGATTATTCGCTCGGTGCGGTGGGAATGTATTGGAAGGCCAGCCAGATCAACGACCTTTTTTTAAAGCCATTCAAGGCGTTTTGCTTCATTTTTCGCGCTAATCCGGGTATTGCTTGAAAAATGACAAAAAAAAAAAAAAAAAAAATTTCTAGTACGCCCATAATGCGTGTCAGTGTATGACACTTGTTCTCGACTAATCGTGGAATAATCGATTTTTTTATTGACCCAATCTCGATGGATGCCCCGAATTTCCGAAATTGAAGAGCCAAAATGCTCTTTCTTCCCATTTTCGAAAAGCCTCGGGCGTTGAGGTGACTCGCGAATTTAAAAACGCATTCATGTTACGAGAACGACCCACCTCCCAAAAAGCAATTTCGTATAACCCAACCATCAGTCCGTGTCTTTTTTTTTTCACGACGAAATCATGACGCAATATATTTTTCACGGCGCACAGCAGCTAGCATTTTTCCGCGAAAGATCCACAACGTGAATCAGCAAAAGCTCGGGTCGATAAATCTCACCGCGACGTCTCCCACACACGACAGTTCAAAGAAGATCATCCGCCTCGTCATTACGGCTCGAATGGACGAAAAAAAAGTCACGGATAAAAGTCCCCCCCGTTTATTACCCCTTGCTAATCCCCAGAGAGGAAAATGCCGTGAAACACGAAGCAATCGCCTCGTGCGTGTATATATACATATACGGCCATCATCATTGCGC